GTTAAAAATTAAATAAAATATAAATGTACTTATTTTTCAAATATACTTCAATTCAGCCTGATCTCACAAGAAAATGTAAGAATTTTATGTTGTGACAGTTTAGTGGCTAATTCATATGAATTTGTACGAGTTCAGTCGTACGAAATTGTACGATTTTAAAAAGGAGGCGTGGCACAAACCCCACCTCTAACCCCAACCGTCATTAGGGGATGAGCAAATCATACTAAATTGTACAAATTAGATTGTACGAATTCATATGAATTAGATAAATCAAAAAATTGCGAATTGCTGTGAGATTGTGTTTTTCAATTCAACATGACACGCATGGTAATACTTTAGTACTAATTCTCAATAATAATTGGCTTATTTTATGACTATTATTAGGATATTAGCTTTTAAGCGGTCCTTACACTACCTGACAATCTTGTCACCTATTCAAGTTTTAGAAACAACAAATAATAACTCGACTTCTAGTTGATCATTTGGTTTCAGAAGTGGCTTATATGAAATGCAAGGGCCTATAAATTACGCTTATTTTACCAAAATAAAATATGAACATCAATATGATTTGGAATTATTTAATTAGGAAAGAAAGGTCTGACTTTGCTTAGACAAAGTCTTGTCATTTAACAGAGATAATGTCCAGTATTGAATATAAAGTCATGCTGCAGTGGGAAAAGACTTAATATTGTGTATGACTCCTATGAGCTTGGAGAACTGCATCCATTCATCTCTGCAATGACTCAAACCACCTAATAATAAAGTTATCTGGAATGGCAAAGAAAGTGTTCTTGCAGGACTCCCAGAATATATCAAGACTCTTTTTATTCATTTTCAATGCCTTCTTCATCTTACCCCAGATATGCTCAATAATGTTCATACTTGGTGACTGGGCTGGCCAATCCTGGAGCACCTTGACCTTCAGGAATTTTGATGTGGAGGTTGAAGTATGAGAAGGAGCGCAATGCTGCTGAAGAATTTGCCCTCTCCTGTGGTTTATAATATAACGGGCAGCACAAATGTCTCGATATCTCGAGCTGTTGATGTTGCCATTTACTCTGCAGATCTTGCACACCCCCATACTGAATGTAACCCCAAGCCCCCAAGATTTTTCCTTCACCAAACTTGACTGATTTCTGTGAGAATCTCGGGTCCATGTGGGTTCCAATAGATCTTCTGCAGTATTTGTGATGATTGGGATGCAGTTCAGCAGATGATTCACAGGAAAAATCGACCTTCTCCCACTTTTCAGAATGATCAGCTAGAAGTCAAGTTATTATTTGTTGCTCTTACAACTGAGATCGATGACAAGACTTTTGTCAGGTAGTCTATACAATATATACATCTGCATGATCTTATTCTACATCCCTAATCCTACCTAATAAAACCCAACTATTACCTTAACAGCAAATTAGGAGCTTATTGTGTCAAGCCATAGTTAAAAATTTATTAATAGTGATAATTGAACTTTAAAATATACATAAAATGTCCAGGCTATCAATATTGTGACATGCTTTCATAAAACACAAGAAGAGTGTGTTTAATGAACTGACAGATTTGTTAGGCTTAAGAATAAAAAATTATGCAATTGTGAACTGCTGTGCTGCTCATATTAAAGCTTATATGAAAGCAAGTCCTGAATTCATTATGGAGCGATGCTTCAAATGAATGTCTTGTTTTAAACATTTTTTTTCTTTTTTAGGAAAATGAAGCAAGAAAACAAGACAATAACATTCATTAAGAGCCCTAATCAGCACTTAATAATCTCTAATGAAGTCTCTTACCAATGCACTTTTCTGTGAAAAGAAAAGCCAGTGAAAAGCAGCAGATTTTCAAAGCACGTCTCTAATTAGTCTATGCTGATATGTTTGATATCTTGCTTTCTTTGTATGACACTCTTATAAGGCTTTGTATTCACTTCATGCAGAAGAGCAGCTCATTTAGTGTCTCACACAGCAAAATCTGACTTCTTAATGAGTTTTTAATTGCGGTTTTTAAACTTGTTTTCCCAGTTAAAGTTACTTGAAACAGGACTAATTTACTTGACAAGCAGGAGCATTTTTTATACTGTAGAGAACTGATGGACGTTGCTTGACTTGGTTTAAATATGTACCAAAAATTACAGTATTCTTTTAAAATATAAACAATATATTTTAATACAAATGTATGAAAAAATAAAGTCTTAATAGTTACATTCTCAATTAAAGTTAAGTTTTAATAGTCAGCATTAAATTAAAATTCATTAATTCATAAATTTTCCTGCAGCTTAGTCCCTTATTTATCAGGGGTCATCACAGTGGAATGAACCGCCAACTATTCTGGCAGATATTTTACTCAGCGGATGCCTCTTCAGCCCCAAGCCAGTCAAGGGAAACATCCATACACTCGCACATCCACATACACACTCATACACTACGGCCAATTCAGTTCATCCAATTCACCTATAGCACATGTCTTTTAACTGTGGGGGAAACCAGCGTTTCTGGAGAAAATCCACGTGTACAAGGGGAGAACATGCAAACTCTACATTGAAATGCCAACTGGCCAAACCAGGACTTAAACCAGTGACCTTCTGGCTGTGAGGTGACAGTGCTAACCACTGAGCCACCGTGTTGCCTACTAAATTATATTGAAAATGTTAAAACCTGTCACCATTGACTACAATAGTAGGAGAATCAAATACTGGAATTGTTGGCGGTTCATTCTTCTGTGGTGACCTCTGATAAATCAGAGACTAAGGGGAAAAAATGAAAGAAAAAAACACTGTTCATCTGAAGAAACTGATGGAGAGTAAAAAGTGAGTAAAACTATTTAATACTATTTTAAACTAGCTTTCAGTGAATGTGTCTATATCTGATTATATACAACAACAATATCAGGCATGTTTTAAGTACAAACAAATTTAACAATTCACTTAAAACACATTCTCAGCAACCATAACTTATATATTCAATAACACTTCAAGTGGACCTATTATTTTTTCAAAAACAAATCAGAAATGCAAACCACTAAACCCAAACCAACAACTAACTAGCAAACAAACAAAAGAAGATGTTTAGAAAAATGCTGAAAATCTGCAAACATTGCCTTCCATTGTATATGATTCTCCTACTATTGCAGCCAGTGGTTACAGGTTTCTAACATTTTTCAAAATAAATTTGTGTTCAAAAAAAAAAAAAAAAACACAACATTTGATGGAGAGTAAATAGTGAGTACGTTTTCATTTCTTTGGGTGAACTACACCTTTAAAGAGCCCATATTATGGGTTTTTGAAAATTCCCCTCCAAGTAGTGTGTAACACAGCTCTAAGTGAAGTGAAGTATCCAGCTAAGGCTTAAATCTGTTAGTGTACAGTGTTTAAAACTGTTGATTCATCTATAAAAGAGTCGACTCATAGTGCTTCAAACGAGTCGCCTTGATACCGATTCATTAGGTGTTTCGCCATGACGTACGAATGAAACCAAGTTATTCACGTGCACGTGCAAACCAGGGAGATTTCAAACCTGAGGCCCCGCCCTCTGACGCAGAAACCCAGACACACACACACGCACCCACAAACACACACACACAAACATGCACTGCAGATGGATATATTGAGTCTCTACCCAAAGATGAAACCTCAGCATTATAGCCAAGCAGTTGGAAACTACTGGAAACTTCTGGAAACTACATGCTACAAAGAATACTTCATCAGCGTTTGTTAAAGGAAGGATCAGTAAAGAGTAACTTACTGATGGACGTCAGGATGGATTTTTCTTCCTCCATTTCTCAAGTGTAAGTACGTGCGATTAAAGTTGTTGCCTCGTTGACTCTAGCTTACAAATGTATTTAGTTGTGATTTGTTACTTGTAACCGTTTTAAAAACGCGACGCGTGCTGCTTTGTTAACGGAGCTCCGTGGACGAGGAGTAGTGTGTGTGTCTGTGTGTGCGTGTGCATGTGCGTGCGCTGTCGTCCGGAGGTGTGTGTGTTTGTGTGTGTGTGTGTGTGTGTGTGTGTGTGTGTGTGTGTGTGTGTGTGTGTGTGTGTGTGTGTGTGTGTGTGTGTGTGTCTGTGAAAAGAGCAGAGTGAGAAGCTAGGAGATCTCCTCAACTGTTTTTGGAGTTTTTGCTCAATAAAATAGATCGAAGCAATGTGTAAGCATTTGGACCTGCATAGGCGCATAACTAACACGCTTTGCGCTAGATTGTAGACCTGCTTTTAGTTGGTCAGTGGCATTGGTTAGTCAATTTTAATTCCTCAAGATAGCAACGTGCCAACAATGCGCCTTAACACACCTCCTTTTTAGACCAGCACACTCATGAGTCCAAAAAGTGGCGCAAATAGATTTGCTATTTAAACAACATGGTGCAAAACGTGAATATTACAGTTGCACTTGTCTGAAAATAGCAACAAATCGTGCTAAACACATCTTGCACCCTATATCTGATTATATAACACAACAATGACAGGCTTAACACTTAAAACGGTTTCTCAACCCTCCCCCCCCCCCCCCCCCCCGGATGTTCAATATTTAATAAAACTTAAAGAAGATCTATCATGTTTAAAAAAAAAATCATAACCGTAAACCACCATTGAACCAAAACCGACAGACAACTAACTAGCAAACAAAAACCAGCACACTTCCAAAGCTCATCCCTAATTAGCCTGACATATTTGACATCACTCTCAAGAGCGCACGCTAACAACGGCAGGTCATGAGAAGATGCTAAACCACACAAAACACACACACACACACGCACAAAAGGTTTGACAGCCAAGTACAGCGAATGCAGTTTAACCTTCTACCAGACAGATCAGCTAATTACCAGCACACACACATACACACAGATACACACTACTGGTTCACAGCCATATTGAAAAAGCTCCGGTGTGAAAGAATCACAGTCTCTCGGCAGCCAGAGAGGGCTTGCATGAGGACGCGCTCCGATTGGCCGTTGCTATAACAATAGGGGAGGAGAGTCAGCCAAGTGGGGGTGGAGACCCAGCATGATTATAAAATCCTTCAGAGACACACATTTGCTTCCTGTATGTTGTTTTAATTTATTATTTTATTTATTTTTCAGTTGTGCGTTCCCGCATCTCCTCCTGTCAGAAGGGTCTCTCATGAGCAGATGTAGGAGGGAGCGTGGAGAGAGAGAGGGGGGGGACGCAGCACAATCGCCTCAGTCTACTGCATGCACACACACACAAGCATGCGTGCTGCTGCAGACTAAATAAGACACCTCCAGTTTTGGATTATCTGTCTGGCGGTGCGCTGACTGCCTCCAGACCTGGAGGCCGACCCTCCTCCTCCTCTTTCTCCTCCCTTTCACACTGAAGGAAGAGTAGAGTAGAGACGGTCTACTGTTTGCCTCCTGCAGACTCCAGCCTCTCCTGTGAGTATGCAACCGTGTGTGTATGTGTGTGTGTGTGTGTGTGTGCTGTAACATGAACTGTCATGACTTTACAATGATGTTTGTCAGATCTGTAGTGATTGTTTCTAACCAAACTGCATTCTGTTAGTGTTAAAATAACACTGTAAAGCTGTTACACTGTAAACCCACACACATTGATGTGCACTGACGCAACATATGCAAGCTTTGGGGTCATGTGTGTGTGTGTGTTTGGTGTGGGCTTTGATGCGCACATGATTCACGGCCGGGACTATAGATTTTTTTGCGTCCCGAGGACACAGAGATGCTTTAAAGCGACACATTGCAATGTTTACATAACACGCCAGGCTTATTGCAGCCTATCTGACAGCACGAACACCACTTGAAGGCACAAATGGAGTCGGTCAATAATATTAGTGTGAAGCAGGACCAGTGTGAAGACACAATGGGCGGCTGGCAGTGGCTCATTAGTGCAGAAAGGAGCTATTAATAAACGAAGCATGCATGTGGAAGTCAAACAGCACACACTGTGTCTGTGGTTGGACTCTTAAAAACCAAGCTTATCAAGGCCGCGTGTAGTTGGCGATTACGGTGCTTGTTGGAGAGGGTGGAAAGTTTGGGATGGATGCGTGATTTGGTTTTAGGGTGGTCAAAGTGATGTTTCTTTACTAAGAAAGGAGAGGTAACAGAGTTTTAAAAAGGCTCAGTGTTCGCTTTGATTCAGTCTCATGTCAGCGCACAAACTTTGTAGGTTTCGAAATGCTCATGTGATCAAAACGAGGGCATGCTGAATATTTGTGGATGATAAAAGTTTTTATCATATGTTTGGAAATTGAGATTCACATATCATAAATATGCTTTCTGTTGACCTATTGTTTGCTAGGATTAGAGTGAAGTATCAAAACATTTAAATATTTAGAAAATCACCTTTAAAGTTGTGTAAATAAAGAGTAAATACACTTTGGCATCTAGGTTTAGCCCCCAAAATTAAGACACATTGATAAAATTAAGCATGAAATTATTTAAAGTATTTAAAATGAGTTGAAATACAATTCCTATGTTTTTTGGAGCAACTTAATTGTTTTATGTTCATAAATAAGCTTTCTGTTGACCTATGGATTGCTAGGATTGGAAAATCTGAGTGTTCCAAAAAAAAAAATAATAATAATAATAACAATCTAAATATTGAGAGAATTGCCTTCAAAATTGTGTAAATTTGGCATCTAGGTTTAGCCCAAAAAATAAGACTCATTGATAAAATTAAGCATTAAAATCTTAAAGCAAACTTTATAAAGCTTAACATATTACAGCAGACTTTTACTGCTTGTTTAAACTACGTATTTGTGTAGAAACAACACAATTCTTAAGTTTTTTTTTTTTTTAAAGGGGGACAACTTATTTGTTTCATGTTCAATCCATTTAAATAACAATTCATATTTTTGGTGCTGCAATGTGACCCTTTAAATTGAGGCTTTGTATTTTATCACCGAATACCCATGAGAATGTATTTTGTTATATAAATTCTTGTCATTTGTGAGACTTTAAAAAGGTTCTGTGTTTGATTTGATTTAGTCTTATGTCAGCATACAAACTTTGCAGGTTTCGAAATGCTCATGTGATCAAAGCGAGGGCATGCTGAATATTTGTGGATGATAAAAGTTTCTATCATATGTTTGGAAATTTAGATTTATACATCACAAATAAGCTTCCTGTTGACCTATGGTTAGCTAGGATTAGATTGAAGTATCAAAACATTTAAATATCTAGAAAATCACCTTTAAAGTTGTGTAAATAAAGAATAAATACACGTTGGCATCTAGGTTTAGCCCCCAAAATAAAGACTCATTGATAAAATTAAGCATTAAATTATTTTAAGCATTAAAATGAGTTGAAATACAATTCCTATGTTTTTTGGAGCAACTTAATTGTTTTATGTTCATAAATAAGCTTTCTGTTGACCTATGGTTTGCTAGGATTGGAAAATCTGAGTGTTCCAAAAAAAAAAAAAATTAAATCTAAATATTGAGAAAATCGCCTTTAGAATTGTGTAAATTTGCTATCTAGGTTTAGCCCAAAAAATAAGACTCATTGATAAAATTAAGCATTAAAATCTTAAATCAAACTTTATAAAGCATGACATATTACAGCAGACTTTTACTGCTTGTTTAAACTACATATTTGAGTTGAAGTTTTTTTGAGGGGGACAACTTATTTGTTTCATGTTCAATCCATTTGAATGACGATTAATATTTTTGGGGCTGCAATGTGACCCTTAAAATAGTCTTCATATATTATCTCAGAATCCCCCTGAGAATTTGTGAGACTTTTAAAAAGGCTCAGTGTTTGATTTGATTTAGTCTCATGTCAGCGCACAAACTTTTAAGGTTTCTAAATGCTCATGTGAGCAAAACAAGTGCATGCTGAATAGTTGTGGACTATAAAAACTTCCGTCAAATGTTTGGAAATTGGAATTTATACATCATAAATATGTTTTCTGTTGACTCGTGGTTTACTAGGATTGGATTGGAAAATCTGAGTGTTTAAAGTTGTGTAAAAAAACATAGCTATCTACACTCTCAGAAAAGAAGCTACGTAAGCTGTCACTGGAGTGGAACCTTTCCAAAAAGTACAAATTTGTACCTAAAAGGTCTATATTAATACCCCAAGGGTACATATTAGTACCTAAGTACAAAAGTGTTCCTCTTAAAATTTGTAGGTAATACATACTTTTGAGGTATATGGACCCTTCAAGTACAAAAGGTACCACCCCAGTGACAGCTGGTGTAACTTTATTTCAAAAAGTGTGGGTTTAGCCCCCAAATTAAGATTCATTTATAAAATTAAGCATTAAAATATTAAAGAAAACTTTTTAAAGCATAAAATATTAAAGCAGATCTTTGCTGCTTGTTTAAACTACATATTTAAAATAAGTTGAAACAACACAATCCTGATTTTTTTTTTTTTTTGGGACAACTTAATTATTTTATGTTCAACCCACTTATATGGCAATTAATAATGAATATTTTGGGGCTGCAATGTGACCCTTAAAAGAGAGTCTTAATATTGTATCACTGAATTCTAAATATAGAAATTCTTGTCATTTGTGTAAGGAGAGCCAATTTTGAGACTTTTAAAAAGGCTCAGTGTTTGATTTGATATAGTCTATTGTCAGCACACAAACTTTTAGGTTTCGAAATGCTCATCTGATCAAAATGAGGACATGCTGAATATTTGTGGACTATAAAAGCAATCATAAGTGTCCATCAAATATTAGGAAATTGAGATTTCTATGTAGTAATAAGCGGTATGTTTACCTATAGTTTGTTGGGATTGGATTAGAAAAAATTTAAGTGTTTCCAAAAAAAAAAATATTGCGAAAAATTGCCAGTAACCACTGACTTCCATATTTTTTTTCCTACCAGGTTTTTCCCTTTTTACAAAATCTCATCTTTTGTGTTTAAGATACAAAAAAAACCTCATAAAAGTTTTGAACTATTCGAGGGAGAGAATTTTGTGAGTAAATTGACATTTTTGTTAAACTATCTTTTTCAAATCTTTTTTGACGAAAAAAAAAAGTATCACATTTCCTTGTTGGAAAATTGACTTTTTTAACTTTCATTATGTTAAAACAGCTTTGGAGTTGAGCAGAACTTTAAACTGCATTAAGCATTCGAAACTAAAATCTAAATGGTTTCTCATAATGCTTCTGAAGTAAAATAAATGAAACAGATTCACAAATGTGATAGTTTTTGACTTATAAGAGTCCAGTGTAATAAAAATAAATGTAGACAGTACAATTCAGACCATTTGTTCAAACTTGATGAGCATTATTTGAGTCGATATTAAAATATATGGTTGACATTACAATTTTAAATCTCTTTTGTAACTCCAAAGCTCTAATTCATACAGTACACTGTAAAATTTCAAGACAACAAATATCTTTATGTTGCTTAAACTTATTTTAATAAGTTAATCAAGTTTCAACTAAACTTTAAAAGTCTAACTTACTGTAATGTTTTAGTCAGTTTGATTGATGTACACTGTTAACAGCAGCAGTTCGCCAGTGTTGGGTAAGTTACTACTGGAAAATTGTAGTCTGATTACATTACTAATTACTTAAAATAATCAGATTACTAAATACTTTACTTTGATATTACTTTGAAAACATGTACCTATAAAAATGCTAAATAAACTGCTGCTCTTTCAGTAGTTAAATATACACTGAAAAACATAAAAAATTGGTTGATCACAGCAGCTTGACATATTCAAAAGATTTAAAGAGTTCGTCCAAAACTTAAAACTCTCTCCTCACTCACTTGTTCCAAATCTGTTTTTTTTTTTTTTTTTGAACACATAATAGGAAAAGTGGATACCTGTAAAAACTGGCATCCATAGTATGAAAAAGCACTGCAGCGTTTGGGTGTTCTGTCTTGAGGTTATTAGTCTACCAAATTGTGTATATTTCATACAAAGCATCAAGCTGATTGATAAGTTCTTGTCAGGTGATTCACAGTTTTCAACTGGTGTGCCTGGAAAACGTGAGTATGCGCAATATGCGCATGCAATATTTGCTCCCAATATGCGCACCTCCATTGGAAATAACAAACTTGCATGCACAAAAGATGCAATTGAACAGCCCCATAAACAGCTACGCTTCTCTTCACATTCAGAAGATACCTTCCTGCATAAAAATCCAAATTAGCCTTTTTAGGCTGAGTTGGAGCACCGTGTTTTGGGGCACCGGTGTCCTATTTGGTGATGAGTATTGTCATGGAATGCTTTCTATACAAGTGCTTGAACAAGTTGTTGGTCAAGTTAAAAGCAGTGGAGACTGGACTAGGCATGGGAAGATAACCAGTTGTAAGGAAAAAAGTATTGGAATATTATTTCATTTTATTATATATTATGGTATTATTGGAAAAGTCAAGGTTTTAAAACCGAAAGAAATCTCTTATACCATTCCTAAGGTATGTAAGATGTATGTTTTTTGAAACATAAAAAAG